ACACACACACACACACACACACACACACACACACACACACACAGAATGGGCTTATAAGTTGTGGTCCAGCTAGTCCAGCAATGGCTGTCTATCAATAGGAAATCCAAGAATGGACCAGCTGTTTACTCCACCAGGCTGGATGTCTCAGCTGGTCTTCATTATACACCAGAATCCTGAAGAAGTAGGCTCTAACTCCAGTGAAGGAATGGACTTGCCAGCAAAAAGCAAGGAAGCAAGAGCAAAAGTTTCTTTCTTGCATATCCTTATAGAGGCTGCCATCAGAAGATTTGGCGCAGATTAAAGGTGGATCTTACCACCTCAAAAGATCCAGATTAAAAGTGGGTCTTTCTACTTGAAATGATTTAAAATAAATCCCTGACATGTGTACCCAGCAATCTACTTTTAGTTAATTCCAGATGTAGTCAAGTTGACAGCCAAGAATAGCCATCACAAATCTACCCCTTGTCAACTTGACACACAATCATATCTCCTTATGTCATGCTTAATTTCCAAGTGAAAATAATAATCATGTCATAATTATACAAAAGATGATATAAATATCACACATATAATTGCAAATGTATTATATATTTAACCAGGTCATAATTATACCTACATGATATAACTATCCCTTGTACAACCACATGCCCATTATAAATTTTAAAATAGATGGCAATGTCCCTTGAAGGGCATTCTTTTGGTATCTCAAAACTTAAATATGGTAACTACAGATATTTTCATGTTACATTACATGATAAAGAAACTGAGGAAAGAAACACAGATATCTGAACACACTCTTAACAAAATATGACAAAAACAGTCATGTCAATTATAATTCTCATTTCTGCAACTGGTTCCATGACCATAGCTGGTATTTAGAGCTACCTTTTCCTACTACCCATTCTGTAGTTCCACAAAGTAGAAAAGGCAATGTTTAAGGGGTGGGAGTACATCTGCTGAGGGCAGAGAGACTATTCCCTCAGGTGAGATAAACCCTTGAGAATTGGAGGGTTGAATCGACAGGGTCATCTCACATTTCAGGATCCAATTCTTTACCAATTAATGCTCTAACTGAACCACTAATACCCTCTGAGGCTGGGACTTGATTTTTTATTATATATATTTGGTAATTCAGCCAACCTTAGAATGAGGGCTTTGGTTTGATTTTCCACAATTTGAGCTGTGGCTGCTGAACAGAAGATTCTCTTCAAGGGCACACGTACTTAGAAACCTCTAGACTGTTTATGTACATCTAGAGTCAACCAGTTTTATCACTGAGCACATTATTGTTTTTCACTGTATTTTGATGCTAGAAGTTGGTTAATTCTATCAAGGAGTACATTCTTTTCCTTTGTCAATTTATCTAGAGATGCTAAAAGCAATGAACTACTACCATCATTTTATTTTTCTACAAATTGTCAAAAGTTTTATATACAGAGTCACCAAATCTCTTACCTCCCACAATGGTGAATCAGGACAACCAAATGCACTTGTCTCTTAAGTCTGTAAAATAGTTCACACTATGGGCTTTTAATAAACCCTGAGTTTCTGAGAGGAAAGCCTATTCCAGATACTTAAAACATTTTATCCTTATACTTCTATTGCTCTAGAATCACTTCTGGTACAAAATTCTGTATTAGTCAGGGTTCTCTAGTAGAACAGAACTTATAGAATGAATACACACACACACACACACACACACACACACACACAAAGAGGAATTATTAGAATGGCTTACCCGCTGTGGTCTAGCTAGTTCAACAATGGCTGCCTACCACGAAAGACCCAAGAATCCAGTAATACTCAAAATGACAACCAAGATTAGCCTTCACATATGGGAAAATTCAACATTATGAATATAAAAGAGATTAAGGAAGACAACAACAACAATATACAGCCTTATATTACACACTGGTCATTCTACATTCATTTTAGTGGAATGTTGACTATGACAGCCAGTAAGGAAATGTTTTAAGAGCTAAGGTAGAAATTGGTTAAAATAAGTAACTTATTTGAAAAATCATGGAGAAAACAAGACACACAAAATGCGCAAGAAACTTGAAGGTTTTCTCTGTAGGCTATGGATAAACTTACTGCTGCCATCTTAACTGCCAATATGCCCAACCTGGAATCTACTCACTTCTTTCTCCCTTTGGCAGTCTGCAGAGAAATGTTACTGTTTTACCCTCCTAGTTACTCCTTTACACATAGTCTATTGACAAAATTTACCTTTCTTGTACTGAAAATCAAGACTATCAATGTCTAAAGATATTCTTACCCCAAATAGTATTTTAATCCAATTTCCCAGTATTTGCAATGGATCCATACTATACTATTGTCCACTAGTCTACCTAGTATCTCTTATGACCAGGGGTACATGGTTTCATTTGGCAGGCCAGAGTTTAGTCAGTGTTGGTAGCGTAGCACAGTAGCCATCACAGGCTCTAGCACCAGGCTGTATGGGTTAGAATCTTGTCATTTGCTGGCTATGTGATGTTGGCTAGTTCTCTAAGCTCTTATTTTTATCATTTATAAATGGGGTATGTAGTGATATTAGCTTTTAAGTGGATAAATGTTTAACTTAGGGTTTGACTCACAACAATTGTTCAAAACAAAACAAAAAAGTCAGCTATCAGTCTGGAGAAGCAGAAACAAGAGCAAAGTTATACTGGCCCATGTTGGAATCAATCACCACATTCTTGAATACCTATCTGGTCTCATGGAGAAATTCTTTGAAACCGCAAGGTTTTTCCCAGTGGTATGTTGATGACAAGTGAGTCAGGGAAGAACCACTCTACCATGCCAGATCCTAAGATGAGCAGCTGAGGACGGTAGAAGAAAGTATTGGTGGACATTCATTTCAGGTTGAAAGAAAAAAATTGACTCTATAGGATAAAAGCCTAATGAATGCCATTGATAGCTGACACCTCCAGATAATGTAATATGGATTAATTAATGCTTGTTGAATTCAAGACTAAAAATGACTTCCATATTCTTCTTCAAAGACTCCAGTCTTTTCCATTACCGTATGCTATAACATTAGGCCTTTTCTATACATGTGCTAAATCAGCTTTGAAAATTCATTAAAATTTTATTATTTGTGATTATGTATCTGTCTATGTGTACCTGTGTGCAGGGGTCTGTGTAGGCCAGATATGTTGGATCCCCCTGGAGCTGGAGTTACAGGAAGTTGCAAGCCACCCAACATGGGTGTTAGGAATGGAACTCAATGGTTCTCTGCAAGAACAGTCCACATTCTCAACCGCTAAGCCATTTTCTAGTCCCAAATTACCTTTTTGGTTTTTTTTGAGACTGGCCTCACTATATTCAAGGCTGGCTTTGAACTTGCTATACAGACTTGGCTGGCCCATGAGTGATAGGATTAAAGGTGTGCATCACCAATAATGGATCTAATAACTAATTTTAAAATGACAACCTTTTTCATATTCATGCCAGTGTAACATTAATCTTTGTAATCATATTCTTTTCTTTTCTTTGAACTTCTTCCAGTTGCAGACTGAGACTTAAGTGATCTGTACACATTACTCTAGATACAAATGCTAAAGGGCAATTTATTGGAAATAAGGCAGGTACTCATACATATATGCACACACGCAGACTTCTAGCTTCACTGACAATGTACTCATTCTATGTAACTTTTGCACCCAAGGTAGCATTGACCTACATAGAAATCCTGTCATCTGGAGAAGGTAAGGCACAATTCAAGCAGTTGGGGCAGGAGAGGTGGCTCAGTGGTTTAGAGTTTTAGAAGTGTTAGGAATGATAATCTTTTTTAAATTGGAAGGAAGCAAACAGAAAGGAGGGTAAGAAAATAAAAAATAATGAAAAGGACTGGTCTCAGAGAGTTGGCCAAAAAACTAAGGTGATCCTTTTCAGGACAGTCACAATGGAAAATTGTTTTCCTGGAGATTTCATCAGAACCTGTCTTCTGAGTAAGATTAATGTAATAATTTTAAATGTGAGGATTAAAGTTAAAGCAAAAGTTATTCACCTTCAAGCTCACTAATCAAATGGCCAAACATGAAATATAATTAATAGTAAAAGATGGTTTTCTTGCTCTTCATTAAATGAGAATTCTAAGATGTCCGCAATATCTGGAGGTCTAGCAGCACTACTAGAGTAAGTAAGAAGTAGAATTACTCCTCTGAAAGGACACTAGATTTTAGATGCACAAGATCTGGTGTGCTATTTTACACCAGTCTCATTACTTTACACACTATCCTATGTTATGCTGGAAGTTTTAGAGGTGAAATACAGGGCCTGGGGACAAGGAGTGTAACAGTCTATCTTTACTGTTAGATGACTGAGGGAGTGTGCCAGAATTCAGAATAAGGAATCAGAGATAAAGAATTTGATAGATTACCACTGTGGATATTGAAGATATGCAAATAAAAGGAAACAGATAGCTAACGATGGAGCTGCAGAGGCAATCTGAGAAGGTCAGTCCAGGCTGACCATGTACTCAGGAAGTTTACATACTAGGAACCTGAGAGCGGTACTGTAATGGGCCAAAAGGGATGATGTACATTCTTTGTAAGGATTTTTAATGTCTTTTCCTAGCACCTCTATTTCCTATTTGGTGCCAAAGCTTTGATAGTGCAAATATATTTTGAACCACAGTGTACAGTGGGAAGGTGAAGGAGAGTCAGAAGTCACCTTGAGGTACACTCTGTCCATGCTCAAGAGTAGCCAGGCTGAGTCTCCACTCACCTCTTTCTTGGCATCACTCCCACCATCATCACTAATGCAGCCACTTCTTTTGTTGACACAGGTACTGAGACTGGGGGTGGTGAAGGATGTGAGCTCAGGGATTCAATGGAGTCAGTAAAGGTGCTAAATGAAGAAAAATGCTACAGTGCTGTTAAAAATATAGCATTGAATTTGGAGAGGATTATGGGTTTATATCATCTAAGAGTACTAGAATAATACGTTAAATGTTCAACCATTTCCCTCTAACTAGGGTATTAGAAAGCTAAATACAAATCTTAGTCTCACTGAGGTTGCCTTGGACTCAAGCGGCTTCTCAGATTAGGATTTACTAGGGCATCTTCAGAGGCAGAAAGGGACCACAGAAATGGGAAGAAGAGAAGCTTAGAGGACTGGTCCCTCTCAAACTTATAGCTACTCTTGGGAAAGACAAAGTATAGTGTTTCAAGTAACAATAAGCAACCTGCTGTCATTTTAAAGTTCTGAAGAATATATAAAGCTGCCGGGGCTCTGCTTCAACAGATGCCTCCAAAGACAGTCAAGCCAATCAATCTATACCAGGGACTGTGCTCAAACTACTGAAGTGCTATTCTTAACTTTGTCACCATCATCACCACCACAGATTCTGCCCCTTTCACTAGACTTCTCCACTACTACATGGTTTCTCTAATGTTGAATAATGCTCAGACGACAACCAAAGCTTTTCCTAAACTCCTGTGGTTTCAGGCTTTTCTCCAGTGTGGATTCTCTGATGTCGAATGAGGCTCGATCTCTGAATAAACGCTTTCCCACACTCACTGCATTGATAGGGCTTCTCCCCTGTATGTATTCTCAGATGCTGAATGAGACCAGTGTTCCCATTGAAAGCTTTCCCACATTCTTTACACTTGTAGGGTCTTTCTCCAGTATGGATTCTCTGATGTTCAATCAGGCCCGATTTCTGACTGAAGGCCCTCCCACACTCATTGCATTTGTAGGGTTTCTCCCCAGTGTGGCTTCTTTGATGGCCAATAAGATGGGAGCTGCGTCTGAATGTTTTCCCACACTCATCACACTCATAGGGTTTCTCCCCAGTGTGGATTCTCTGATGTCCAATGAGGTGTGAACTGTGACTGAAAGCTTTTCCACATTCATTACATTCATATGGTCTCTCCCCACTGTGGATTCTCTGGTGCAAAATAAGGCCTGCGCTCTGACTAAAGGCCTTACCACACTGGTTACACTGATAGGGCTTCTCCCCAGTGTGGATTCTCTGGTGCAGGATCAGGCCTGTGTTCTGACTGAAGGCCTTACCACATTCTTTACAGTGATAGCGCTTCACTTTGTTGTGGATATCCTGATGGGAAAGAAGGGCTGACCTATAACTGAAGGCTTTACTACACACATTACATTGATAGGGTTTCTCTCCAGTGTGTATTCTCCAGTGTCGAACAAGGCCTGAGTTCTGAGCAAAGCTTTTCCCACATTCATCACATTTATGCCGTCTCTCTTGTGTGGGATTTCCCTGCTGCCTCTCTAATCTGTCTTGGGTTTCTCCGTGCGCAAGGCCCACGGTAACATCCCCGTTGCACTTGGCAGCTGTTTGTCCATGTGGCTGGATTCCAGTTGATATTACCTGTTTTGAAAAGAATTCCTTGTTCTCACTCCTGGTCTCACCATCTGAAATAAACACATAGTAAGCAATCATTCTCAAAGTCACTTCCTACTTTCTATACAGAAGGGGGAAGTGAAGTTGTAATGGAAGCTACAAGCAAACCAAGCTTCTCTATTCAAAATAGGAAGAGATACATGCAGGTTGATCAAGTAAAAGTACCAAATGCCAAGTGGGAAATATATGTCAGGAAAAAATGGTTTCCTGATAGGTGAGTAGTGTTGGAAGGGATTAGCTGAGAAATGTAAGTTGGGGAGCAGGAAGAGATAAAGAACTCTTACTGGCGTACTGAGTGGGACAGAATGCGCCAAACAGTCCTGAAAAGGGGAGAAGTACAACTGGCTCATAGGAGAGAAACACTCTAATATCCACTATCATGATGGTCCAAGGGGACCTGAAGAAAGGTGTGAATGCAGGGAGTACTACAAAGATGCCACTTTCTAACTGGCAAAAAGAACAGTCTTCACTACATAGATACAAACTGTAAGGACTTCTGGGTTGGAGAACAAAATGCTTCATTTCATATCTTAGGAATCTCAATCTAATACCCATTTCTTAAATTCTGAGTTTCTTTTCTTTGCAATTCATTAAAAAATTTAAAACAAATTTATATCTATGCATGTCACATGTGTAAGGCATCTGCAGAGCCTATAAGAAGGCATCATAGCCCCCAGAGTTGGAGTTCCTGGTGGTTACATGGTACCTGATGTGGATGCTGGGAAAAGAACTCTAGTCCTCCAAGAGCAGGAAGCACTCTTAGCCACTGAGCCATCTCTGCAGCCCTGAATCCTGAGTTTAAGTTCAACTAAGTCCTCCAGAAACCTTATAAAGCTACCAGAAACACAGCAAAGAGAAAGTTCTTAAATTATAATAACTACAGCTCTCCTTACCCAGGGAGAACATGTTTCTGTATTTCTCGGGCCTGTCATCTCTATTCAGAGCCTTCTGTGATGGGTCCAGAAGCCACTCTTCTCGAATAAGAGACACAGCCATGTCTTCAATCTTTTCCAAAGTCTGAAACAAAAGAAGACCCTCATTTGGGGCCCAGACAGGTTCCAAAGCTCAAAACCAGTGTTTGCGATAACTACAGTGTTAGGAAAGGTGAAGAAGCTGGAATGTGCTAAGCAAAGGGATGTAAACAGCTGGGAGGAAGTGGAAAGTGCACTGGATTTATTATGGAAAATCAAAGGCTAGTTTGTTACTAAGTAAAAAGGGTTCAGAGGAAGTTCTTAAACAGGTACCCCTACAGACAGATTTGCTACAACATTGTCAGAGATATGGGCTTTTAGTGAGAAGGAGCACAACTCACCTGGAACCCTGCAGTGAGAAGTCTAGCTGTCACCTCCTGATCTCCAGAACTTCTTTTCTGGGAAGGAGTAGGACTCTGAGAAGCGGACATGGCTGAGAGGAGAAAGGAGCTATGAATTGACTAGTCTTGTTGTATGGTTGTGGGAGCCAGCATTTACTTATCCAAAAATTACTTTTATTTCGGCATACATATGCCAAGGATTTTGCACATAAAGTGCTGACATCTTAGACTCTGGCTCATATTCATGGATGTCCACAGAACATCTATACTTTAATGTACCTGAACTTACACATTTAAATAAACAAAGTATACTGATTTCTTAACAGGAGCAGCTTTCTAATTTAGTCTCTACCCAAAGTACTATCTCTGTATAGCATTCCTTCAGAACCTGAATCCTAGAAAACTGGACATGGGAACCAATCAAACTGTTACCTTTCTAGTAACTGCTGTGGCCGCAGTGACTACTTTTCATGGATAGTGAGTATCTTATCACCAAAAACAACCTCATAGTTAAGCAAAACACGTTTTGAACAACAAGATTTAGGACTTCAGATAAGAATTATATAGTTAACTAAATGAAGTACTTCTGTGCTATTTCTTAGAAAACATTAAAAATTCTTAGTCTTTTGACTACGTTAAAGTGCAGGAATATTAAAAATTCACTTATATGTTGGGGTGGCAAGTGCCTATAGTCACAGCACTTATTGGCAAAAGGACCATCACAAGTTTGAGGCCAGGCTTATCTATCTAGTGAGGTCTAGGCTAGGCAAGACTACAGAGATCCTGTTTCAAACAGAAAAAAAAAATCACCTATAGAAAACAAAGCATTATAAATCCATAAATAGGGGAAAAACACATAAACATACCAAAGAAAAAACCCTACAAAGACGAATAGCCTAGAATAAGCTGTTCTGTATAAAACAGGGCAATTCTCAATACACAATAGAAAAATGTCACCCCCCTCCAAAAACAAGACAAACAAACAAACAGAAACAAATCAGGGAAACCAGATTTAAGGGGCTTTATCTGGTTAAATATAATTTAAGTACAGTTAACACAAAATTTCTTGAACAAAGAATTTATATGTCCATGGGTAAATAATAAAAATAATAAAATGGAAGGGTTGAGGACATAGCTCAATTAGAAGAGTGCATGCCTTGGATGATTAAAGCCCTGGGTTAGTACTGAGCACTGCCCTAAACAACACAGACACACCCACCCTCCACACACACTCAGGGCTGGAATGATGGCTCAGTGGTAAAGTGCTTGCTATGAAAGTAAGAGGACAGAAGTTCAGAATCCCATCACCCACATAAAAGCCTCGTGTCCCGAGTCTCAGTGTTAGGGACTGGAAGAGAACAAGGACAGGCACATCTTAGAGCCTGCAGGTCAGGTAGTCTAGCTGAAATGGTAGAACTACATGTTTAGGGAAAGATTTCATCTCAAAAAACAAGGTGGAGGAGACAAGGAGAGCTTGGTGGGTAAAAGTGCTTCCTATATAATCCTGAGGACTTAAGTTCAATTCTTGGAACCCAAGGTGGATGGACAAAAGCAGCTCTTGAAGAAAGTTGTTCTCTGACCTCCAGGTGCATGTCTAGGTACATACACTACTACTACTACTACTACTAGCAACAACAACAACAATAATAATAGTAAGGTAGGGAGACACAGAAGACACCCAGCATGACTTCTGGTCTCCACATGAGCTCCTAGGGGTAAGCTAAAAGGAAAGAAGTGAATGTTTTCTCTTAAGATTAACAATGCAATAAGTTAGAAGAAATGACTGAGAAGTTATCATTTGTAACTGGTTTAGTGATAATCATTGACTTAGTTGAGAAGCATTCATAAAATACAGTAAAAATGAAACATCGATAAACATTGAAACTCTTGTTTTAACAATAAGTCTGATAAGGATTAAGATATCCACACACCTTGATGGGAAATTCCTCCTAAATCACTTCTTAATTATGAAGGGAAGCACAGTAACTTTACAGTATTAGCCTAGCAAGATTAATCTTAAGTCATCAAAGATAACATCACAATAGGTCAAATTTCTGAAATGTCCATTCTAAATATACACAAGTGGAATCTAAATATGAGACAATACCAAACAAACCTAATCTGCAGCCATTCCAATTCTAATCTATGTTCTTTAAAACTGGTAAGGTCATGAAAACACTAAGAAATAATCCCCAAAATGTGTAATTAAAGAAGACTGAAGAGATTTATGACTAAATGCACTGTGGTCATAGGGTGAACCCTGAACCAAGAGAAGACATTGAGACAACTGGAACGTGAGTATGAGATGAGGATGGGATCAGCACCACTGCTGCACCACAGTTCCTAACTATGTCACCCTACTGTGCTCATCAAAAACGCTCTCATTAAAAGAAAGGCATATTGAAGTAACAGTAAATAAAATGTTAAGATACCAGAAAAAATTTTTAAAAAATGTCTGCTGTAAATGTACTGGGGTAACAAAGTTCTTTGTTCTTTGCTCATGTCCTTTGGGCATGCCATGGCCACTGCCCTCCTGAACTCTTAGCCGTTGTGGCTATATGCATAAGACCTGCAAAAGATTGGGCGTATTAACTTTTGCCACAGAGTGGGGAAAAGAATCACAAGCCCCCTCCCCCATTCCCATATAGGCAATTAAATGGTGCTAAGAGATATCTCTAGTGGTATGGCTGCTCCTAAGCTACCTATGTATGTATGTATATGTGTGTGTGTGTGTGTGTAAAGGATATATATATCCTTTATCCTATTCCTAATTAAACTCATTGGCTCACAAGTTAGTCTTCAAAAAACTTGTTTCTTTGGTGCGTCCTTGGTGCCCCATCTGGGGTGAAGAGCTGCTTGTGCCCACAGGAAAAGTTCACATACTACTTCTATAAACATTCAAAACCAGAAGCTGGGGACTACTAAAACACTGATGCCACTTCCTGACTGAGACAGGTACCCCAAACATAAATCTCTTTCCTTTCCATTTTCCTCACCCTTAGAAGTGAAATCTGGCCTCTCTCCTCTGTCCTGTGTCTTCTGGGGCACTGGAGATTTATGTTTGGTTGTCATGGGTCGAAACTGAGTACTTGGAAGTTCTGGTGCAGATTCTGAAGGTACGACTTCCTCCCAGAGAACTCTGTGCCCATGTGTACGAGCTGAGACCTAGAAACAACGGAACAGCTGAGTTACGAAGAATTCCTCTGAGAGAGTAAATGGAGGCAGTAGTAGAGCCTTTGATGGGAGTTGATATTAGGAAAAGCAAGCAGTATAATCTCATTTACTTCTTAGGGCAACAAGAAATACTACATTAGCACAAAAAGAAGGGATTTGTTCTGTTCAGTACTGAAAAAAACAGATTTATATTAATGTTTCTCTACTACATCTAGCACCAATATTTGTACTTCAACTCTAGGACAGAGAATGAATAACAGAGAAAACTAAAACAGGGCCATACAACACTAAGACACTCTTCTGACAAGGAACTGGGAAGCCTCAATTCTAGTAAGCAGTCATCTCTAATTATGTAGGCAAAGCAAGCTGACACAGAACATAGTTTAGCAAGCTGGGCTTTACTTGATTTGTACTAAGCACCCTCTGCCCCCAACAATGCACCTAGCATCTGTTGGCAATCTAGGACTCACACCTGCATTAAGCTGTGCCCACACCTTACTCTGAACAATGGAATAAATGTCTCCTTTTCTTAACAACCATGAGACCTAGACAGCTTGTCATATTCCCGTTATATCTGGGTAAGGAAGGTAAGGGGGTCAAGCAGACCCAGGCTGACGTTGGGTACATGAGCAGTAAGGCAAACTGTCCTTTGAAAAACAAAAAACCATCTCATCATGCCTGTTGGCAAACAAACTCTTTTTATTCTCAAACTTCAGAAAAAGAAGCTCCAAATAAAAGTGGCCTAGCACTGTTGACTTTGTACTCTTGTTCTGCCATTGATAAAAGTTTCCTTACTACTTGTACAATTTGTGTGGGTCTTTAACTCCTTGAATAGGAGGTAAAAAATGTGGAAACACTTGACCCAAACCCTGACCACTGGTACCATGGGTACCCCAGAAGAAAATTAATTTAAGCTCCTTGTGTATCATGATTAAGCAAGCAAGGGTAATAATTCAACTGTAGGGATGTTATGAGGAAAAAAAATGGTTTCTATACTTTACAAAACTACAATACAAAGTGCTTTAAATAATATCCATTCGCATTCAACAGAAACTGATGCATAGAATTTATTCCTCAATGTGAAGCCAGTGTGTGATGATATTTTGTTTGTGCTCTAACAAATAAAGCTTGCCTGAAGATCAGAGGGTGGAGTTAGCTACCAGTTAACCATAGAGGCCAGGCACACCTTTAATTCCTGCACTTTGGAGGTGGAAGCAGGAAGATCTGGAGTTCAAGGCCCCACTGGGTTGGTTACAGGAGATTTAGCCAGTCAAAAAGAAAAACAGAGCTCACACCTTTGTTCCCAACACTTGGGATCTCATGCCTTTAATCCTAGCACTAGGGAGGTGGAGACAGGAAGTGATATGGCTGGGCAGAGAGGAATATAAGGCAGGAGACAGGAGCTCAGCCCCTTCAGTCTGAGGATTTGATGGAAGTAAGAAGTCTCTCTGGTGGCTGGCTCCTTTACTTCTCTGATCTTTCAGCATTTACCTCAATATCTGACTCCAGGTTTTTATTATTAAGACCAATAAGAATTTATCTACACCAAAGTCTTTCTACTCAGCTTCCAGGAATTCAGTCCCAGCATGCACAGCTACTTACTGGTCGTCCTAGGATATTAATCTGCCTTTGCAAGTCCTCCAACAGGGTCACTACCTCCTCTCCATTTTCTAACTGGTGTTCCTTTACCAGAGTCTGCAGCTCCCCTGGCAGGATGGTCAGGAACTGCTCGAGCACCAGCAGCTCCAGAATTTGCTCCTTGCTGTTCAAGTCTGGCCGCAGCCACTGATGGCAAAGTGCTCGTAGCTGGATCAGAGCTTCCCGGGGTCCTAGTGTCTCCTGGTAGCATAGCTGCCTGAAACGCAGGCGGAACAGTTCTTGGCCAGAAGTATTATTTTCATGCACGCTAGATTCCTCATCCCAACCATGATCCTCCTCTATCTTGACAATTACAAGGTCCTCTTCAGGAGTCTGGTCTGGCGAAGATGGGGCCGAAGAAGGCTTTCTTGATTCTGCAGCCATTTAGGGCCAGAGAAGCTTAAAAGGCCCCTTTCCTCTACCTTCTGAATCTTCTTAAGTCTTCCGAGGACCTCCAGGGTACTTCTTCCAGAAGAGAAAATGATAAATATGTTAATGTAAGGCAAGTCATAGTAAATTACCAAGATACTTCAATAAGCTTCCCTAAACAATCAGTCACACCAAACTTACCCAGGGTACAAACCCTTCCTTCCAGTTTCCCGTTTAGGGTTGTGGGGGATGGAGACTCAGCCTAACTGAAATTCTGCATTTATTAGCAGGTAAGTCTCAGTACCTCACTGAACTCCTCGTAGCACCTTGTACACCTCCCACTCTCAACTGATTTTGTACTTCAGCTTTCAGCCTTGCGCTCATTCTCGACAGATGAGGTTAATTTCTCTATCCTCTACTTCAAGAACCTGTCTAATCCTTTCCTCCTTACTACCCAAGATTCTGCATCCTACTACGGCTTCCTGTCTTCCCTCCAGTCTCAGGGCTAACTCTGGAACTCCTCCTCTTCCTCCTAAAAATCTACTTGAAGCAGTGGATCTGCAAAAAGCCAGGATGTCTTATGAACATCTTTAATGCCCAAACCTAAGCCCACACACCAATGACCTTCCAGAATCTATCAGAATAAAATGCAGTAGTGTTTGAGTTTGACAACTTTCACTTAGCAGAAGACACCTGATATTAATCAATGTTGTGTCTGTTTATTCTTATGTAAATAAATATTTATCTTCTCCCCAACAGATGAGTTGTTTTTTGAGCTGATTAGGAATGAAACCACTATGATTATGTGCACCCACATTCTTGTCTGAACAGTTCTTAATTTTGTGGGGTAAACCCCAGTAAATTGCTGAGTCTTAAGTGTAGTATCTAACAAATTGCTGAACTGTTTTCCAAAGTGGCTGCAATATTTTGTATTCCACTAGCACTTGACATCATATCTTAAAAATTTAAATAATAGGTATATAGTAATATGTTACAGTTCTAAGTTTTCTAACTAACAATATTGAACACATATATATTTTAGTGAAGTATCAATTTAAAAATTTTGGCTCATTTTGCTTTGTCAATCTCATTCTATAATCAAAGAACATCGAACTTGTGATTTTCCCATCTCCACTTTCCAAGTGCTGTGACTATAGGTGAGCACCACCGTGCTCAGTTTTATTTATTTAACTTATTTAGACTGTTGAGATCTTATCATGTAGCCTGGTCTAGTCTGGAACCCAATGTGTAGCCCAGGATGATCTTTAACTTGTGATCATCTTGCCTCCATCTCTCAAGTATTGGGATTATATGCATGTGTCATCATGCTTTGCCCAGTATTATTTTGTAATTGAGGTTTTATATTGTTTGTGTATTTAAGATTTGAGAACTCCTTATACATTCTGGATATAAGAGATACATGATTTACAAATATTGACTCACTTCTGTTTTTTAATCAGTGGCCTTTGAAGAAGATATTTGTAATCTTTTGAATCATAAGTTAAAAAATTTTTAAGAATTGTACTTTTGATATCATATCTAAGCAATGTCTGTTTAGGCCCAAATCACAAAGGGTATCTTCTAAAGTTTGTAGTTTTAGGTTTTACTTTTAAGTCTGTGGTCCCCCCTGAATTTATCTTTGCGGAGGTGAGGGTATGGCTAGGGCCCCTCCTCGCATACAGATGACAATCTGCTCTAGCACCACTCACAGAAAAGGTTAGATACTGAATTGCTTGCCTTTCATCTGTGGGGTGGGGGGCTGATGGACTATAAACACTGTTTCTGGAGTCTCTATTCTGCTACCTTGACCTATAAATCTACCTTCTCTTGATTCAAAGCTTCCTGAAGATGGGATCTTTTTAAATGTTAAAAATCAAGTAGTTCCGATCCTACAACTTTTCTGTTTCTGTAGCTATTGTGGTTTTGCTGGTTGTCTTCCGTTTTGAAACACATATAGATTAAACTTACTGATTCCCAATAATGCAGGAATTGAACTGGTGTTGAATCTATAGCTCAGTTTAGCGACACTACCTTATCAGTATTGCTATCATATTAGGGACACCTTAACAAGGGTGTGCCAGTCCATGAATACAGGTATCTCTCTTCATCTAAGTCTTCTTTTACTACTTTCATTACTGACCAAACTATTTATTTTCTTTTCCCTCTGCACATACTACTTTTCTTATAACTGCACATTACTGGTTGCAAAAAGGTTTTGCTCTCTTAATTTCATAATCCTCATGAAAATTTTATATTGATAAAATTAAAGAATATCAGAGGGATAAATTTACAACATGACACAGAACTGTCTAGATTTGCTGTAAGAGCGAAGATTACAAGCTTGAACTCCAGGCCCAAAGAGCTCACTTGGATGGCTCTGTTTCTTTGTGGGGTACATGTGCATTAATGGTTTCTGTACTTGTGTAGACACCACCCTTGCTAAGGCTGCAGTGGTGACCTCTCCTTGACTTTGGTTATATTTCTCTTTCATTTGTGCTCTACAATGCTACTAGCTCTGTCTTCAAAAAAGATGCCCTAGGTAGTACCTATGAATGCAACCTCATTAGCAAATAGCAGGTAGATAATCAAATTCATATGAAGTTACAACTGGAATAAGATGGGACCCTAATTCAGCATGACTGGCCTACTGTTAAAGAGACACAAGGGTCTGCAGGACAGCTCAGGAGGTAAAGGCACCTGCTGCCAAGCCTGACAGCCTGGATTTCGATTCCCAGGCACCACAGAGTGGAGGGAGGGGGCTGACTCCTGCAAGTTGTCCTCTGATCTCCACAAGGGCACTGTGGCACCAGTGAACCTTCTTTGTCCTCCCCAAACAAAACAAAACAAATCTATTACTCTATATCTCAGGCTGATTTCACACTGGCAATTCCCCAACCTCACTCTCCTGAGTGCTGCATGTAATTACAGGCATGCATCAATATACATTCTTTTTAACGACTAATATTAATCTTTTAAAAATCTCTTCCTATTCCAACAAACTTTTATTTTTTCCCTCAGTTTTAAAGTTAGAGCTAAATAATAATAAAAAAAACTGTCCCCTAGATATTTTCCCCTCTAATAATTGTGTGTATACAAATTGCAATGTTGGTAAGCACATATAAACACTGCTCCTTACATATTATCCTTAAAGAACATCCGGTCAGGTTTATTGACTGATTAATGTAAATGCAATAATTGTAGCTTCTTCTCGATCTAAAATGTCAACTTCAACAATCCTGGCTTTTCACCAGATGTAGAAGATGTATTTTCCCCTCCGGATTAAGTTTCACTTGAGAAATGTCTTGGTACTGAGTGCAAACCAGGAAAAGACACAAGGAAAAGTAAATGAGACAAACACTGTGCTTTGAAGCTATCTCAAATTGCACTCACTGAATATCTTTCTTTCAGATATTCCTAAAGTTATTTTAATATAGGCTTAAACATGGGGGTTAGGAGAAATGGAACTCAGGAGGGGGCCAGACACACAAGTGTGAGCGTGAGCTCCTCAGGGGTGTTGCTTTGATGAATGCATTTAAGATTTACCACATTCTTATAGTAAACCACAAGAGGAGCTCAAAGCTTCCACGTTCGCTAAAAGAATGACTGCCACATAACTACGCTTCAGAGAATTTTTCAGAGAGAAGTGTGTCGTCAAGTGGTGGTCAACATCTTAGATATCTGACAAAGATTACTTATGGCTGACTTGAGAATCGGAAATGGGAACCCACGGAGTTTTCAAGTACCTATTTCAGTTAGCTTTAATAAATTAAGTAGGCAAAGTATTCTGAATTCGGTTTAATTTTGTTATCCTGGAATTACTGAAAGCCTATCTTTTGCACAGAACTGTTTAGCCATCACATCAACCATTTTCTGTGCAGAAAAAAAAGGAGTAACAACAACAACAACAACAAAAATCAGAGGTTTCCATGAGTAGTAGAGACTTAAAAAAAATAAGTATCTTTAAAAAATGAATCTTGAGATCGAAAGGCAAAATCGCTTGAGTAGGAACAGCTGATACACGGGCCGGCTTTACAAGTAAGAGCGACTGCAAAGTAACACAGGGAGCCTGGCGGAGAAAAGAGGGGCCCCGTAGGAAGTTGGAGCCGGTGTCGGCCTGCTGGGCTGGCGCAGGCCCTCCGCCGACCCGCTCCCCGCGCACCCCTGCTCGGCCGAGCGCACTCACCGAGAATTCCGTACGCTGCCCGAGGGCGGGAGGCGGCACAGCGCGGACCGGGAAGCGCGCAAGGACACGCGACGGACGCCGAAGCCGGGCGGGACCCCTCCAGTCGCTAACTTCCAAAGCCTCGCAGAATCGGCCAGCATGCATCTTTCCCCACAGCCACTTCCGGAAGCTCTCTAGGCAGCCCGGAGGTCTGACAGCTCTATGGTCGGCCCGCGTAGTGACAGAGCGCTGCGCCTTCTGGCTGTCAGCGGCGCCAGGTGGATGTCTAAGCCGCTGCTGGGGACTGGACATCCTTAGGAATGCCATACCTTTATGTCACCCAAGCTTTTTTGCCTGGCCAGCTTTGGGCTTCAGTTGGCAAGGGTGAGGGTTAGGTGGCCAATCGCAGATCTCAGCTGGACTCAGGAAGGCGCTTAATATGCCTAAAGAATTTCTCTTTATTCCTCCCAGATAACCTGTGCTTTCTGTTAATGCTTCATGATTTACTCCAGATTTCCAACATACACTTCAGATTGAGAAATTTAACCCTTTACAGAACCTGGGACGAGTAGCACATCTTACATTATACAGTTCTAACTAAACCACTGCTTTCCCTTTGACTGGGATGTGTGGTCAGCCTCCCAACACTGGATGCTTTATCACCAGAAGCAACAAAAGTTCCACAAAATAACCACAACCCATCTCTTAAGCTCTAAAGAGGACATTTAGGCTATTAGTAATGGTGGGAAACAGTTGGCTTTTTACTTTCGAAGGTGACTTTTTATCTATGTTAAGTTGTCAAGACAGAATTGGTGGGTCTCAATTCTTTTTCTGGGAGGAGTGAGGCAGAGGAATTTTAAATGTCTTACCTAGTGTCATGTATTGAACGACCAAATGAAAACCTAGACCAGATGATCGAGGTCATTTTCAGCTAGGGATCCTCAAGCTTGGGTCACAAGTGCACAGTGGAAAGGCTTGTCTCTTTAAAGACCGGGTCTCCTTGTCCTAATTGGCCTCAAATTCAGGGCAAACCTCCTGCCTTACCTTCCTAAGTGTTGGGCTTATAAACATAAGCAGCACACCAGCTTAAAGCCATCTTTGGAAACAGTTGATTCTTCTTTCAAAACTGAACTAAATTAGAAACGAAGGACAATTTTGCTCATATTCTTTGGTTAGAATTTTTAAAATGATGAAAAATTTTGCCCACATTAAGAACACCCATGGACTGGTAGATTCTGACCACTAATCAGGCCTAAACATTAAGGAATTTTTGGTACTTTTATCTTTTTTTAGTATATTATATTTATTTGTTAGAAAATGAAAAAAGTCCATATAAAATATATGTGGCTGTCAAAAATTTGCTTCTGTAATCAATGAACTTGTTCTAACTCAAAATGATTGGAGCAAAATGTAAAAGATTAGAAAAATACAATGTGACGGTAATAATGTACATTATATCTTAAAAGAAACTTGATGTTACTCATTTTTAATTAAGATGTTCTAATAATTGTTTACCAATCATAGTAAAGACTACATGTCTTTCCTCTGAGCACCAAGAAGTTTCCATAGAAACCCTAACATAATACGAATTGGTAGTGGGTGTGTTCGAAGCTGAGATAGCTGACTGACATCGACACCTCTTTTTTTTCTGCTGTTAGGTTTGACCTGCTGTTGATAACTCTGCTTTACTTGTAGGCCAGGAGTGTGCCTTGTGGTTTCTGGCCCAGGTCTCATCCACGCCTTGGGTGGCATGGCAAACGCGAACATGAACTGCTGGTACTTAAATCATTCTTGCTGAAAACTTTTAAAATGTGTCTTTGCGTGTTTTGGCAAAGTAGAACTGATCTACAGTGGGAAGACTTGGGGGAAACAAAAGTCCACCCTGCTGTGCTTGGAAACAGAGTAGACAGTCATGAACTGGGAAATGAGTGGAGATCGGGAGGATGGGGGTCAAAGGTGCCTGCCACGCCTGAGGTTCAATGTGCAGCACGAGGACAAGAGTCAGTAATATTGTACTGAATGCTGGAAATTTGCTACAAATGTAGATTGGGGTACTTCTGTGATATATAAACTGTGACATTGTGAGTGTTAATTTGCTTCACTATATAATCAGTTCACTAGAGTTATCAAAACATAACATTGTAGCCTTGCTACAACACAAATGCAATGCTAGGAAGAAAATATTAAGTCTATCACTAAGAAAGAAACACTGAACATTTTAGAGTTTCATACTCTGTATGTATTCATGTTTATGGATGTGATCCTCCTGCCTCAGCCCCTTGAGTAGTTATGATTATAGGTTTATAGCGCTACTCCTAGCTGAGAGTTTTTAACACCTTTGTTCAGTATATAGAAGTGTATATCCATCATCTTGCTTTGCCTGGTTAGCAATTGTATTCTTATAATTGTTAAAATTTACTTTGCCAACTGTTTAATGTTTATTCTCCATCCTTCCTCTATTTTACCTTCTTTCAGCTACTTTATCAGTAATAACAGGATGAAGGGGATTATGTTCTGATCAATTCAGAACATGCTTAATCTTTTTTAATTTCTTTTTTATTACTTTATAAATAATACCAATCAAAATTTCCAAATCCCAGTGCCATTATCATTGACTTCTCAGTCTGCCCAATTTGTCAGCCACATTCAGAGGATAACAATTTTCACCGGTATCTTAGGTGGTCTTTCACTCCACACAGGTTAATTTACTCAACATCTTTACTTGTAAATGCCATGCTCCTACCTACACATCTTGCCTACATGCTTAGAATGTTCTCATCATTCCTCTGTAAAGTTGGCTACCATGAATATACATTATAGATGCTAGTTTTGTTGGTTTTACAGATTTTGAATACTTTCTGCCAATGCATAGTAGGTATAATATAATTCCTTCTTGTCTTTTTGATGATTCAGATTAAGTGCTGTCTCTTGCAGCTTCACCTGATTTCTTTGACCTCACCCATCTCTTCACCCCTTGACCTCAGATTGTCATTCCAGTGACAATGAGCCTTTCATAACAGTGTCTTTATTTGTTAATTTTTTTCATGAGTGACAATATGGTTACATACTTCTGTCACTTCTGTCTATTATAAGAGGCATTCAGTCCTGGGGTAATGAGTCATTCTGTACTCCCTGTGGCATAGACCCCTATTAATTTGGACTTTTAGTTGTTTCTCTCTCTCTCTCTCTCTCTCTCTCTCTCTCTCTCTCTCTCCCTTCCTTTCTTCCTTTTTTTGATACAATATCTCATTATACAGCCTGGCCTGGAACTTGATATATAGACCAGGCTGACTTCAAACTCTTAACCATCCTTCTGCCTCTGTCACCTGAGTTCGGGGATTACAGGTGTGCACCACTACACCTGGCAATTTTGGGATGTCTTAATGATGCATTTCAAAAGTTGATTTCATATTTTATAGTGATTTTTCAGGGATTTAAGATCTATGTATTTGTCTACAGCAATAAAATAAAATATTATGGTGCTCCAATGGATAAAATCTGTGGTTATGTCAGCTTTAAAATATGTAGCAAATTGAGATTGATGATAAACTTTCATGAAGTATTTAATGATAGCTTTTAAACTGACAATAAAAATAATGATATCATCAGGCTTTCCTGGTGAACGCCTCTCAGAGCAGTGTAAGTTACCGGGAAAGCCTCTTGCTCTGACCAAGAATCTTTCTAAAAGTTCCCTTTAGCTCATTGTTCCTTAAGCTGTAAATGAAGGGATTCAATACAGGGGCTACAACCATGAAAATTACTGATGCAGCTGAGTCTTTTTCAGTTGAATGGTTGGATGAAGGGCTCATATAGATTCCTGCAATGGCACCATAAAAAAGAATAACCAAAGCAAGGTGAGAGCCACAGGTTGAGAATGCCTTGAGTTTTCCTTGAATGGAAGCAATTTTCATCACAGCCGAGACAATGCGACCATAGGATGCTAAGATACACATGGATGGTACCACAAAGATCAGTCCCACCACAAGCAGAACCATGAGTTGATTGAGACTGGTGTCAGAACAGGAGAGAGGGAGGAGAGAGTTGATGTCACAGAAGAAATGGTGGATTATGTTTTCAGAGCAGAAATGCAGTTGGGCCATCATGAGGGTATGCAAGAGAGGATTCAAAGTGGCAATGACCCAAGACAAAGCCACCAGGGAGGTGCAGAGGCGTGGGGTCATAATGGTGGAATAGTGTAAAGGATGGCAGATGGCCACAAAACGGTCATATGCCATCACAGTGAGAAGGAAATTGTCCATGTTAGCAAACATCATACAGAAATACATTTGAGCCAGGCATCCAGGGTAGGAGATGGACTGAGACTGGGTTTGGATGTTCAGTAGCATCTTGGGCACTGTAGCTGAAGGAAGGCAGATGTCTACCATGGACAAATTGGCAAGAAAAAAATACATGGGTGTGTGGAGATGATTGTTTGAGCCAATGGCTAGCAAGATGAGTAGGTTTCCAAATAGTCCTGTTAAATAGAGACACAGGAAGAGTGCAAAGAGGAGCCCTGGTTGCCCTGGCCAACTTGAGAAGCCCAGGAGGAGAAACTCAGAGATGCTGGTTTGGTTTTCCGTTTCCATTGGATGTACCTGTATGAAGGAGTTGTGGAGAGAAATAAAGTTTCATTTGGTAAAACACGTCTCCTCTTGGTATTTTTTTTCTGTAAATATCTACCTGGTCTTAGTCTCATTTACAAAACGGTCTTCTTTTAGGCCACCCTGTCTCTTGTCTGATGTTCTCTGCCAAGCTTCAGTGAACCCTGAGTGTCCCTCTCCATCTCATCGGTTATCTTCATGTCTGTCTTTTATTGTTTTAATCTCACATCATCAGAGAGCTCTACAGGGCCTTCAGCTCTCTCTGCTCAGCAGGCAGAGATTCTTTTACTGCTCATTTTTTATTAGTGTGCATTGGTTGCACAAAGTAAGATGATTCATTGTGACATTTCTGTTCATACCTTGTTTGCTTATACTCACTGTATTACCCCATCTTACTTCTCTTCCCCTCCCCCTGTAAGTATTAAATTGTGCCCTGTTTGCAGAGGTTTCTGTCTCTCCCGGCCCCATAATAAACACACATAAACTATATTACTTGCAATACTGTTTGACCAATAGCTTAAGCATATTTCTGGCTAACTCTTATATCTTAAATTAACCCATTTCTATTATTTTATATAGTGTTC